AAAAAAGAAATAAAATTGATAAATTGTTACAAAGATTTAAAACTTAAATAACAATGAATGAAAGTATTTTCATTAATTAATTAAGATATATTTAACTATAGTTTAGAATTCATTGAACATTTTTTTTCTATAATTGTGTAATCACTTAAATGAGTCTGATGATTTACATAAATGTTTTGATTGATAGTAAATTGAGGTAAACTTTTACTAATTTTTTTAAAGACTTTTAATCACATAAAAAATAAATTTTAACAGTAAATTTAAAATTACCGATGATAAATAAACCTAGTAATTGTGAGAGGAGGTCGCCGCAGTACATATAAAAAATATATATATTACATGCACATGCTACATGCATCAAAAACTGCCCACTAAGGAATATATAACCTACCTATCTTAAGCAACTTTATAATTAATCTTATCATGATTATGAATTAATTTATTTATTAAATTTAAAAATTTACATTATTTTATTTATATAATATTGAATTTTAAACTATCAAACAGTTGTAATGTTTTTAAGATACAAATATTTAGAAAAAAACTGAAGCCTTAATCAGGCTTAAATAAAGATTGATTTGTAAGTTGTACTAATAAAAAAAAAACTTTAAATGAAATAATAAAGTATAATGAAAACAGTAAAAATATAATTTCCAAATCTTCAATATATAATGATCATCAGCACGCAAATTCCAAACAACAAAAGCCACATGCACATGCAATGTCCGAAGTGGGCAGGGCTATGGTCCAGATCAAACATAATTTTAGAGAGGTAAAGTTAAACTTATAAAAATACATATGTAATGTAAGAGAAATATTTGAGCTATGGACCATAGCGCATGCTTAGAACATGTTCCACTAACCTCGCGGCACACGAGGGCTGCTCACGGAGTCCTGAAGATCCACTGGAAGTTCTCAGCCCTGTAAATAATATAAATATGTATTAAAATAAAAGAAAATCAATAAGTTATAGGCATTTTGATTTATATAAATATATAAGTTATTTAGTTTCTAGATAGTATTTTCTATTCACTAACTATTAATGAAACTTTCAACAAAAGATAATTTTTAATTTTTAAGGTGACTATGGGTTGTTAACTAAGTTTTTTACAGTATTATCATATATGTATATATAATTTTGTGACTAATTCTTACCTCGCTGCCGCTATGTTGAAGATGACCAGGAGACTGCGTTGAATTCGGATGATCTAGGAGCTTCTGGAAGACCGCGGTCATGTTGTAGAGATGTTTCTTGAACCTGAAATTAAAAGCCTTTGAGATATAACAGTGACTCAATATATTTTTTTTATTATACAATATTATGTTGTATCACATAATATTGTTACATTATTTTATAATATTTATATAGTATAAATTACATACTTTCATATATTATTCTAGTATGTATTCTTGTGGGTCATACGTGATTCAAGTAACCGAAATTAGTGCAGGAGATCACTAAGTTCAGTTATTTAAAAATCTATCTCGCTCTTCAGTTATTTAATAAAGGATGAATAGAATCAGGGATGCTCTACCACCAAAGGCTGATGGCGCATGTTCCCCCCTCCCAAAAAAAAAAATATTATTGCCCCCCTCACTTATATAATTAATATGTATCTATATGAGATGTAACATCAGTGTTAGTTTAAAAGATAGTAGATGTAATATTGGTTTGTTTCTCGAGAAGATTAAAGAAACAATACATTGCAATTACAATGTTGCAACGAGTCCCGCTTCTACCCTTCTCTGACTACGTCCATGCCAGGAATTCTTTATTATTTTGTTTTAAAATATTTTTTTCCTTTGAAATAAGAATTTCATCTGAAATAATTGCGAGTCAAAATAGGGTATATAATTTTAAAATAGGGGGAGGGCAATAAATTTGAGGATGGGTAAACTAGTCTTTATTTCCTAATTAGTCTTTTAGAATGTTGAAAAGACCAGTCACTGATGATAATATTTCATAAGTTTTTTATTTGTTGCTATTTTATTTTAAATTTTTTTCAGTGTTCTACAGCCAAAGAGGCATTAGTTGTATTTATTATATGCACACAATAAAGGTACTGCAAACCGATATTTGAAACAAGCGGCTATTACAATTTATATATTTCAAATTTGAAATGATATTATTATTGTTGACATGAAGTTACATTGAGGATGCAGAAGAGCAGGGGTGGTTGACTTAATGGGTAGGTTCGCCAACAGCTTTTAATTCTCACCACCAACAGCTCAAGAGTCCCGGCTTCTATCTACTTGACGTCATACAGGTTTTTAATAAAATGTGCGAGATAGGTTTACCTAAGTTTGTTTATTCTAGAGAAGTAAATGTTTTCTTCTTTAAAATTTGAAAATCAAGCAATTCATTCATTTTGACTATATCAATATATATATAGGTCTCCTTATAGCAGCCATTTTCGACTTGAGATCTGCGTTAGGGTTGGTTGGTCAACTTTTATGTATTTACATTAAACTAATGTAAATATTAAAGTTATATTGAAAACTCTTACATAAAAAAGGAAATTTAGAAAAGTAGTTGAAATGTAAAAAACAAGATGGAGATATGGTCTCCTTATAGAAAAAAATAGTAAAATATTAAATTTGTTTTATTTTTATAATAATGATTTGTATTCCTGAATGATGTTTCACGAAACAAATACATTATACGCATTTCTTGTTCAATCTTTTATGAGTTTTATAACTTTTATACAAACAATCAAATCAACACAGCCTCCATTGCCAACCAGCCCTCACAACTTCACTTTTCGTCCTTGCCATTTTTAGCTCAACAATTCAAATGAAGGTTTGAAAATTAAAATTAAAATATAGCGACCAAGAAGGCTTGTACAAGTCCACTACAAGTTTACTACAAAATATTAAAAATGGTACTATCATCTAATATACAATAAAATGCAATAGAATACAACCTACCTTTTTCAAGCTGCATCCGCTGTGATGGTAATTTCTTGATTTGACATTTGATTCATTCTTCTTCCCCGATATCTTCTTCATTCTTCCTATCCACCAAAAGGCTGTCTCTCTGGACCACAAAGGATGTGATATTCAGCAGAGGTGACTCGAGAAGATTCTACGATTCCCTCGACGGCAGAAAACTCTTCTTGGCAGATGGAACGATTTGCACTCTTGAGGACCGGGCAAGCCATCTTCTGAAATCCATCTCATCCCTCGCGAGCAGAGAGCGGCCCTCGCTCTCGCGGGATGATCGAAAGGACCCGAACCCATCTCTTCGGCACTAGACCCATACAGGGAAGGAGTCCATGGTCATCGACGTCCTCCAAGTCCTCAACCTCCAACCGGAACACTCCGATCCGCCATTTTTCTCCTTTCCTCGGATTTTCTCCTCCCTAAAACCGACCCTTCCCCTCGAAGCCACTCCAACTCGAAAAGATATTGTGCCGTTACAGAAGAGTCGAGGGAAGAAGGGATCGAAGTATTCTACGATTCGCCGGGTAGGGAATTCGAATCGCATCATCGGCGTGATGTCATCGACTGAGTGATTTTCGTGCCATGGCTGTTCATGAAGAAGAACATCGCTCAATAAACACAAGTCGAAACTGAACTGAAGAATTTAAAATAGAATTTTCTTTGATTAAAAGAATAACCCATACTTGTTATGATCTGATTATTTAAATAAAAATATTTTTTAAAATTTTGTCCTAGATCGTGTTATCACCAAGATATAATAACAATTTTATTTCCACTTCGGAACTACAGGCAAAAATAATAAAAACGTGATATGAATCTGCATTACTATTAATTTAGACTAAACTTAGTGAATAGGTAACTATATTGTAATATATAATTACTAGATAGTTCTGAGGGCATTGGCTTTATAACTATTAGTGTGCTTGGAACAGAGCTCATCCTCAGGTACCAGTAAGAGATCAAACCAAACTATCCCTCAAATTTAATACCTCTCAATATATCTAGCTTGGTTTGATTTCGTTTAGCGCCTGAAAAACGAGACTTTGAACCAAAACTAATAAAAGTCAATGTTGGGCTGGGAACAGAGCATAATATGCATTACTATTAATTGAGACTATATCTAGTTAATAGCCAACATCTATATTGAAATAAATAATTACTAGATAGTTCTTAGGGCATTGGCTTTATAACTATTAATGTGCTTGGAACAGAGCTCATCCTCAGGTACCAGCAAAAGATCAAACCAAACTATCCCTCAAATTTAATACCTCTCAATATATCTAGCTTGGTTTGATTTCGTTTAGCGCCTGAAAAACGAGACTTTGAACCATGACTAATAAAAGCCAATGTTGGGCTGGGAATAAAGCATTAACAACCTATCCAAGGTTTGAGGTGTATAGAAATAAAAAATTTCTTTTATTGTAAAAAGAGTATGCCACTGAACTCCAAGCATATGCACCTACGACTCGAATGAAATTAAAGAAGTGGTGGTTGTGGTTTAGCCTCAAGTAAAAATATAGAAGCCTCAAGTGGCTCAGGGGTTTAAGGAGATAAAAGACCCTGATGGGACTGCCTGACCAAAAGCTAGGCAAATTAATTTTTTCTAAAATAAATTATAATAATTCCAACCACCACAGTATTTCTATCAGTTCCAACTCCCGCAAGTTGAGCGATGTTCTCCTTCGTGTACAACTGTGACACGAGAATTGCTCAGTAGCGACATCGCACCGATGATGCGATTCGAATTCCCAAACACGACGAATCGCGGAGTACTTCGATCTCTCCTTCCTTTGACTCTCCTGCCACGACACGACATCCGATCGAGTAGAAATAACCTCGAGAGATAGACTCGGCAAGGAGAGAAGAAGATCCGGGAAAAGGAGAAAAGTGCCGGAGCGAAGGGTCCGGAGGAAGTGGAGGACTTGGAGAGCACCTATGGCCGTGGACCACTTCCGAGATGAGCCGAACACCGAAGAGCTGGACTCGAACCCTTTCGACCATCCTGCGAGGTCGAGGATAGCTCACCACTCGCGAGGGAATGAGCTGAACTTCAGGAGATGGCCTGCCAGGTCCTCCAGAGTGCAAATCGTTCTGTCTACAGAGAGGGATCTTCCGCCGTCGAGAGAGTCGAAGAATCTCTTCGCAGGCCCTCTACAGAATACCCCACCCTCGGTGGTGAAGAGCTCCTGCAGGCTTCTAGCTTCCAAGGGTTCTTCATTGGAGGTGGTGGCTTCCAACCAGTCTGCACTGCAACTGAAAAACCATTAATTAGTTAATCTAATTCAAGTTTTTTTTCAATTAATAGTCATTTTTGGAAAAGTTGATTATGTGAAATATGTTTTACATAAGCCTAAATAAGTAAAAATAGTTAACTATACGAAATATTTTTTACTATTCTATCAAAGTAAATAAAATTAATGAATCTAACTTTAATATGAAATACTATTATTAAATAAATATATAAGTTTAAATCATGTGTTTGTGTAAATATATATATATATAATAAAGTAATATATTACTTTATTATTTATAATTGTAGCTATATTGCGTATAGTTGATCTCAGTCTATAATATCTTGAAATGCAAAAGTATTAACATTTAGTTAGTAAATTGTTTTCAAACTTATTAACACATTTTAAGATAAATAATGTACTTTATTCATGGTAAATATAAATGAAATAAAAAACAAAGTAATGATAATTGGGAACTACACCGGCACAAACTAAATCAACTATTTCTGTATTGCGTAGAAACTTCTAATGTTACTTTCATAGAAGAATATAAACAAAACTCTTTGTTTGTCCAAACATTAAGATTCTGTCACAACGAAAGTTATAATTATCGATAACTATATCTGTAAACAGCTGATGGGACATATTACAATGTTCCAAGTTGCCTAGCCGCATGGAACTTAAAATTCAAATAATTCAATTTACAATCTATACAGGGCACGATTAAACTTATTTAGTTTCTAATGCTTCTATTCTATTTTCAAACGCAAATATATGTTAATTTATTAAACAGGCAGCATTAATTATTTTTAAATTTATTTTAGAATCGCCTTATTATGTTGTAGTGAAACTTTATAATACTAATAACATTGTTTAAGAACTTCGACTGATATATGGATGTTAACAAACTAATATTGTAACGATATTTCTATATTTCTATAATTTTGTTAACATAATTGGACAATTATTATTCATATTCATGCTTATTTTTGTAATTCATAAATTAAGAATAGGTTAATTTAACAAGGAGTTATATTTATTTAATAATTTGAATTCAGATAGTTTAAATATCTTAATTTATTAGGAAATTAAATCACCTTTTATAATGAATAACTCTTTTGTTATTCAGAACAAAGAGCTTTGTCCGGAGGGAGGGCGAAGTACAATGTTGGAACATGCACAGACCAGTCAAGTCCAAAGTTTAAACAACGATTTCTTAAGCAATATTTTAATTTAAATTTATTTTTCTTCTAAGATGTTTATAGATATTCTATTCTATATATATACTAATATATTCTATTAGTTGTTAATTTCATACATCAACGATTGGTTAATTTGAATAAGCATTCATTAAATTCGTCAATACCTTATTTCATAATAACTGACTAGCTTTCTCATTGCTTTCTAAAATATTTCTAAATCCTTAATTTCTTATTAACAGCAATAGACTTCAGTTATATCTGCATTACTTGTGGTTGGTACGAAGTGGACCGGTACACAGCTGAGACTAGACTGAAGTGGCGAGGCAATATGGCAGTGTTACCATCCCTCAATAATAAATAATAGTAACATTATTTTTAAAAATTTCGTAAATCCTTGTACCCTGTTCCTTGAAAAATCATAAAGATGCATAAAATTGATATTATCAATCATTTTTAAAGATCGAATTAGATAAATGTTCTTAAACTCAAAGTAGTACAATCATAGATGCCATATCGATTATTAAAAGAATATGTGAATATTGACGCTTGTAAAAGTACATTTTTTTAACAATATATGTTTAATACATAGAATAAATTCCTGTATTTTATATATTGTCAACTCAGTGCTTAATTCATCGTTGGCGTAGGATCTGTTCATAAACTAAAGATGTCATCGATGAGCTCAGCGCTGAGTTCAGGAACTTACCCCTGTAGTAAAATTATATAGACACAGAATAACGCCAAATTAACTTTTTTTAATAATTCAAGGTGGAAATTTAGATGAGGACCGCAAGAGTTACGCATGGTTCACAATCACTTCAATCACACTTGTTTGTGAAGCGTAGAATACATCAGGGTTTATACGAAAGGCTGTTTTCGACTTTTCATGAATTAGTGTGACCGAAGTGATTGTGAACCACGTCTAACCCGTACTGCCCTCATCTAAATAATTAACTAATTCAATATACCCACCAAAATGCCTGTGAGTAAGGCACTGTATTGGTATCTATCTGATCTGGGTTTGAGTCTGGCTGTTCCATATAATTACTTATTCTATCACATCGACTGTGAATCGATCCTGAGGTACTTATTCAAATTTTGAAGAAATTGGAAGTGATTAAATATCAGAATATTTATAATCATGTGTCCCTCTAACCTCCCAGCAATATTTAGTATTTTGACATAGTGGCCTAACTTCAAAAATCTGATGCACACATCACTGAAGTTTTACTTACCACTCTACTTTCGACAGAAATTATTTATAGGCAAGCTTTGGCTACACAAAAGTTCAGGTGCATACTTGACGGAGCTAAATCTTAAACCTTACCGCTAACTCATTAAGGCCATTAATATGTAATATATTTATATTTAATACAAACTCTATTTATTATATTGGGAGTAGACAATAAAAACTTCGTAACTTCATAGGTCGTTTTAAACCATATAATTAAACTAGCCCCGAGTTCTAAAACCAAAGAAAGATTTGAAAATACATCTTTCGATTCAATTCATTATGGAGAAATATTACAATTTGTCACATCTAAGGACAATAGTAATAGTGATAGAAGAGTAGCTCATTTAGACTCTTATGTACAATACAAAGTACATCTATATATTTAATCTATAAATGAATAATGATCGAAATAGATAGTAAAACTTACAGAAACCAAACATTATACATCTTACTAAACTGCTATTTCCTTATAAGTTAAATTTACTAAAATGTATATTTTAAAATTATAAAATGTATATTTTTATTGTAATATTCCTTTTACAATGCTTATGTCACCTTTTTTGACTATGTTTACTTCATCATTCCACACTTTGTACCTGTTACTATTTGTCTCTTGTTCTTACTATTGTCAATTATTCCTACAAATTCATTTTACTGTAATTTTTATATTTCTCATACCTTGTTATCTGGTTCTTTTCTTAGCCCTGATGATGGCCTGAACTTCAGATCGAAACGTCAGAATATGTAAAAATAAATATTATTATTTATTTTTGCCTTCTTTTTTGACTGACCACCCCAACTATTCTTCTCTTCATTACTAAAATGTAATTAGCAAGTTTTCATTGCTTTTCATCGATAAGTCAAAAGTTGTCACACTAATTGCCAATAAATACTGTTGTGATTTCCTAAAGGGGGTATTCATCAAATCATTCACTAATTTAACTTCCTATTATGTTACATAATGATTTTCAGAAAGAAACAGGCGATAAATACCGAATTATTTAAATATATGTTTTAGTCTTTTATAATTCACTTCTTCTATCACACAAGTACAATAAAATAGTTTTTTTTAACAATAGCATTGCCTTGATTCGTTGGTTTATACATCATACTTCTTTAAATTTGAAAATAATTTTAAAAGTTCACATTTAGTTAGGAAATCTCATTTGGTATCTCATTGTCCCAGAATAAAGATACCACAGAATGCCACTGTCACTGTCCCTGTCCCAGAACAAAGTTTATCAATATATATATATATATATATATATATTCACAACTTTTCCTTAATTGACCTTTGAGTATTAAACATTTATTACATAACATTTATTTTATTTTATTGTATTTATTTTTATTTTATTTTATTGTATTTATTATTATTAAGTTTCTGTATTATTTATTTTTTTTTTATTGTAAATAGAGTGTGAGTGTGCTTTCTCTGATCACTATTATAAATGTCCTTGATGTGACAGAATGTAATATTTCTAAATAAACAAATATATAAATAAAAAAAATTTAAACTTAACTATTTAATTGAGAATAAGGTCCCTTATTATATTATTTAATAAACTATTGAGTGTTCATTTCTTCTATTTCTTCTTCATTTCTTAACTTACAACTTTTCCTTCCACAGAAACTTTTGCTTACCGTTAAATAATATATATATATTTTTTTAATTTTATTTCTTAAAGGCATTTACAACTGTATTAAATAAATACATCTAGTAAATTAGAACATAATGTATATAATGACATGAAAAACACTTGCTGAGTAACTACTCAATGGTAGTTCACTCTAAAATAATATTAGTTTTCAGAAATCATCATTTATAATTTTTTCGTCATTCTCCATAACCTTCTACGACTTTGTATGTTCTACATATTATTTTTTATGAACTCTTAAACTTTCCAACGATATATATATATATATATATATATATTTAAACTTAATTATTTAATTGGGAATAAGGTCACTTATTAATTATTTAATAAACTATTGAATGTTCATTTCTTCTATGTTTATTGACGTTTCGATCCCGGTATTTCCTTTTTATAAGTCAACGATGGGATCCTCTTCAAATCTAGAACTACAAATAGCTCAATCGGTACACAATATTACTTCCATATGTCTTTAATAACAACTATTTAAATATGTTTAACCTACTTTTAAAAAATAGAGCTTCGATCAGGCCAGGTTAATATATATGCTAGTGGACGGTGCTGAAGCTGTCGGTGTCTCCCTGGCGTGATCGAAGCTCTATTTTTTAAAATTCTAGCTCTGAAGAGGATCCCATGATTGACTAATAAAAAGAAAATACCGGGATCGAAACGTCAATAAACATAGAAGAAATGAACATTCAATAGTTTATTAAATAATTAATAAGTGACCTTATTCTCAATTAAATAGTTAAGTTTAAATTTAATACTCAAAGGTCGATTAAGGAAAAGTTGTAAATATATATATATATTAATAAACTTTATTGTGGGACAAAGTCCCTTAAGAATAACAATTATGAACAAAAAACAAGAACCTCATCTGTCCAAAAATTATATATATCAAAATTAAAGAATATAAAAAAAAAATTAAAACCATTTATATTAAATATAATAAAT